CCCACCCGCACCCCCTGACGCCCCAGCCCTGGGCTCTCTCTTCCCCCCCCCACCTGCACCCCCTGCTGCCACAGCCCTGAGCTCCCCCCCCAAACATGACCTCCTTGTTCACCACAGCAGTCCCCGTTTACACTTGCAGTGCAGATCAAACCGTTTCTCCTATTTTTAGTATATTCACTTTAGTATAAATACAGCTCCGGGGGATGATGCTCCGGCTCTCCAGCGGCCGGGCAGCCTGAACTGCCATCCAGCCTGTGCGACTCAGGCTGCCATGATCGCCATCTAGTGACTGCAGCCAGAACTGCAGCATCAGTTCCAACTCAGCCTGAAAGCTTCAGCTGACAAGGAACATTTTGATTCAGGGCCAGCTCATGGCTTTCTGTGCCCCAAGAAAAAAAGGGGGGGGGGCTAGAGTGCCGTCCCTTGGAAAGTGCTGCCCCAAGCACATGCTTGGTGCGCTGGTGCCTAGAGCCGGCCCTGGTGGGACCAGCCCTATCCTGTCTGTCTCCTGCACAGACGGGTTTCCCACCTGCCATTTAGGGCTTTGAAACTAAGGACCAAGCTCTTAACCTTAGTGTAACATTGGCAGTGATGGCGGAGATTTAGGCACATGGATCCCATAGCATCCCAGCACACCTCTGGGAAAAAAACATCTGCCCTTGAAATAGGGTGTGTTTCCGCCCCCCCCCCCAATTCCTTGGAACGTGTGTGTGGGGGGGGTGGGGCTTTTCCTCTGATACCTCCTGTGTGGGAACATATAGTGTCTGAAGGAGCCTCAGTCACCACGCAGGAGAAGTTTCACCTGGTGCAAGCGGGTTTCCCCTTGTTCTGACCCAGGCAGCGTGTGACAGGGGGTGTCGGATTGGCGGGAGGGGGGACGACACAGCTGCTTGTGGCTGCGCTGTGCGGCGCCAAACGGGCTAACACCCCGCTACCTGGCGGAGGGCGGCAGTTTTTCCCCTGGCGGGCTCCGCCTCCGAGGCTGGGCCCGGAGAGGGGGACCCCCGAACTCCCCGAGGGGGACAGTGGCGCTGAACTGTGACAGCCCCGCGGCGGGGGAAGCCGCAGGAGGGGCGGGGGAGCAGGAACCGTGAAACCTGAAGGGGCAGCAAGAAATGGAGGGAAGGGGGGGCGGGGCGGAGGGGGGGGAGAAGTTGGGGAGGGAGAAGGGCGGGAGGAGCCAGCTGCGGGAACAGAGGTGAGTGACGACATGGGGGAGCCAGCCCAGGGGCGAGAAGAGCTCTCCCGCCCGGGGAGCGGAGGAGGCGCACGAGAAGGCGGTGCCTTTCGGAGGAAGTTTGCGCACCGACTGAAGAGGAGAGAGAGAAAAACACCCCCCTGATCCGAAGCGGCTGAGCGGCTCTTGAGAAGAGGCGCGCAGCTCCCCCACGCCAGCCGCCTCTCCTGCAGACCGGCCCCGGGAGCGCTCGGAGCCGCTCTCGCCTTCCCGCAGCTCGTGTCCGGCGCTGTAGCCCCTGCCCGCGCCATGGGCGGCTCTGCCTCCAGCCTGCTGGACGAGAGCAAATGCAGCTACATCCGAGGTACCGTACGGCGCTGCTGCCTGCCGGCCCGCAGAGAGTCGGTACAAGTTAGGCGGGGGGACGCGGCGATTCGTGGGGCGGTTCTGAAGTTGCAAAGTATTGGGCGGCTGGCTGCCTCCCAGTCTGGATGCTCCCTGAGACCCAGTGACAGGAGACAGGCAGCGGCCACACCACCACGTTTGCATCTGAATTTTAATCCGGGGAGGGAGGAGAAGGGGAGGGGGAGAAGCTGGCTGCTTTGGGGAGAAACGGTGCTTCTTAAAAGTCTAGCAGTGTTCGGTGTTTGCAGAAAGTGAAAGCAGCGGGCAGACAGGACAGTGGCCACTGGAGAGATCGGAGAGGTAGGCAGGAGCAATTGATACTTCTGGGTAACTCATTGTAATGAGCACCGACCCTGCTGTATCTGCACCGGCCAACGGATCAGGCAAAGCCTGTTCTCAGGAGCCTCCAGGACCAGACGTGCAGAAAGCAGCACAGCTAGAATGGCAGGTTCACTGCATGACAGAGTGCCCCAGACCTTTCTGCCTGGGACTGGGACAGGGGACTGAATGGGTGGGTTTGGGTGCTAGTGCCCTTTTACAGAGGGACTCCCAGTAAACTAGAGTCCCAGGCTGAAGTTAGTGTACAAATTAGGTAAACTCGGCAAGGGGAGGCGGAGGAGGGCAGGAAACGTACCGGTGGAGGCAAATATTTTTGTTTTTGGAAAGTAAATACATCTGCTTGCATCGCCCTCTCCAGATGGAGGCTTTTCAATTTTAGGGGTAACCAAATAAAACCAGGCAGTTGAGACTGGATAATTATCAATCATATATTGAAAGTATGTGAACTATACCATCTTGCCATTGTTGAAAATGCCTTCCATGCTGTCTGGGGCCCATTAAAGTTGTGGGACTTCAGCAAAGCATTTAACCATGTGCTGAATTGAGGAAGGGGGCAGATCACTTCAGAGAGGGCCAACATGATTCAAAGCAAATGATTTTTCACATGCCAATAATAATGCTTTTTTGCTCTTAATGATTGGCCATGCTTTGCCTAAAAATAAACACATGAAATCAGAGAGGGCCAAAATGCCCTGAAACTGGAAAGAGTGTCCACCTGATGTCAAGACCTCAACTCTGTGGTCCTATAAATGGCACTATCAGCTTTGTATGCTGGCCCTAAGAGCCCGATTTTGCAAAGTCCTTTGAAGCCAATAAAGTTTCCTCTGGGTTTTGGATTAGAAAGACAATCCAGAAAGGACTTGAGTTACCCAGACCACTAAGGGGTTCTGTCACCACCTGCCTTGTAATGTTGGGTGCCTTAATACTATGTCTATGTGGCTCAGAGCTCTGACACCAGTAGCCAGCCTACAAGCATAAAGCATAAACTCTGCCTTCCACCAACCTAATTATTCCTTGTAGAATGACTTCAACAACCCCTGTTCTGGTCTGGAGTTCCCCCAAATCTGTTTCCCTGAGTTCTTAATGACCAGGCATTCAGACTTTTCCACTTCGGCTCATCACCCCTCAAGGAATGAAATCTCTCCCCACCTATCAGTTCACTTTGGCAAACACACTCCCCACAGTTTGCACAACAGAGGTCAGTTTGGGGTAAAATAAAAGTTTGTTTAATAGAGAAATCATAGAATCAAAGGTGAAACAGTAAGGAAAAGCAAACACAGACAAGTTACACAGAAAATAAACATAAAGATGCAATCTCAGGCTTTACACTTCTATATTATCTAAATTCCCCTTTCGCCTTTCAGACTATGGAATTCATTTTTATACAGAGCCGGGGAAACTCCCTCCTTCCTTAGTTATCCAAGACTGGGATTTTCTTTTCAATTTCAATGTCTTTCAATTAACTTTAATAGTCCACTATTGTCTTCCCCTGTGTTGTTCCATAGTAGGTTGTTGGAATTAGTGTCAGGGAAGCAACTAGCCTGTGTCCCTCCCTGCCTGATTACTTCCCCACACTGAAGTGATGTGGCAGTTGCACCCTAGTTACCATTAGTGTTCTACGCAAAGGGCTAGCCTACACTAGAAGCACTACATGGGTGCTCTATATTGACAGGAGAGAGCTCTCCAGTGGGCATAATAAATTCATTCTGTGAGAGGCAATAGCTATTGACACCTGCTTTTAGGTTGGTGTAACTTATGTTGCTGAGAGGGGTGGCTTATTCACACCCCTGAGCAATGTCAGTTATACCTAAGTAAGTAGCAATGTAGACCTGGCCATTTATGCAAGCATAAATTCATAGCCATAATCTGCAAACATCTTTCCCAATGACCATCAAGTACAGAACATTACAAGCTTTTATTAAAAGACCTTACTTGATGTATATTTATACACAATAACGTTGTATACAATCAGTTGATTCAATTGCTTATTCTTGGGGTTCAACCCCTCTTGTTCTCCACTTGGGGTGTCTGGACCTGGATTGTCAAACCTGCTACAAAACTTGTGTTTATATGCTTATTGTTAAAGTGATAAAGAAAATGACAGCTTAATTTTCCAGAATATATATATATATATATGCTTGTAAAGGGAAATAGTTAAAAAGGTGTCAAACATTTTGTTACTGTCTGTCTAGATATATATATGCCCCCATCACTGTAGTAACAGCTGATGTTTATGTGGCCGATTTTATGTCTGAAAATTTGTTTTTGCTAAACAAAATGTGTATAAAAAGGTGTGTGTGTGTGTGTGTGTGGTGGGGGGTGGGGGGG